TAACCCACTGCGCCCCCAGAGAGGGCCCGGACAGTTTTCGTGTATATGTGCTCCGCCTCGCCAGCCTCTTTGAGGAATGCGGTCGACGGCAATGAAGTTGTAGGTACGTGCACCTTTACTAGTGTCACTTACTACAGAGTCGGGCAATTTAAACGTTTGGCGACACAGGTGTGGTTAAACTGCAGCATCCCGAGCTGCTGCACTGTGGAGGGGTTTGTGTTTATTGACAGCATAGTGTAAGTGGGCAGAAAGCTTCTCTCTTTAACAATATTTAAAGCGTACTTATGTCTAAGAGGAGCAGAAACCCAAGTGGCTGGTTCGCTGAGCCGACCATTCCGACCTCAGGGCCCAGCCCCCTCTCCTTGCTGAGACATCCCGCGCCCTGGGGGTCACCTCCGGGGCAGGCGGGGATCGAACTCATGCGGAAGCGGCTTCAGCTTCTCCGTGCTGTGCTTTAACCCACTGTGGCACCAGGGAGGGCCCACTCTCTTGGCTCATTTTTACAACTGAACGTGCAGTGTGTGAGAGACCCACGTTCCGCGTCAGAGGTACCACCTGACACCCTGTGCGCCTGTCGCCCGGAGAAGCACGGGTGTTTGCTTTCAGTGACCACCTCACTGCAGAGTGAACTTAATCAGAGACTAATCGGACTCAAAGCTCAATTTTATCTTTGTAACTTGAAGAACTTTGCCTCTTTCGAACTCATTCCTGTCACCTTTTACTGTTCGGAAGACTCTGGGTGTTTGAGGCCTCCTCTCAGGGTAGCCAGTGAATTCCAGCCTGTGTCATTTCCTTCACAATTTGGTTCTGTCAAAAGCTCAGCTCAGTTTCTTGGCCTCTCATGCTGCTGCGAAGGCCAGTGTGTGACAGGGCTGTTTCTCCAGGTCTCCGTGCGTCTCTGACCCGTCACACACACTCACACACAGCCGCCGGCGTCTGGTGTTAGTCAGGACAGGTATGGGAGGTGGACAGCGGGGACTCGCTCCCAGGCTGACCCTCCGCTGAGCTGAGAGAACCGAGGCAGGGCCAGTGCGGCGTCAGCACATCTCTCAGCCAGACGATGGGGCCAGAAGGGCGCGTCCACCCCTCAGAGAAGGGGCCCATCCGCAGACCGCCCATCTGGACAGAAGCGACTGGCCCCCACGCGGCCCTGAGTAGCCAGTGGACAGAAACGGGGGCCAACGCAACCTCTCAGTTGGCCTGTGGAGACGGCCCCCCTCGGGGAAATCTCAACAGGCAGATTCGCCCGACCTTCTCCTCACCGGCGGGAATAAACACGGGCAGCGCCAGCCCGGACACCCAGCCGCGGAGCGGGGCGTGAGCTGGGGCCTGACTGGAGCAGGCTGACGGTTCCGGGGAGTCTGCGTGGGCCGGCCTGTCCCATCTGAGGACAGGACGGTCAGAAGCGGCCGTGTGGCGTGGCTCCTCGGGAGCCGCTCCAGCCCCCCGACTCTGCGCCCCGCCCACGTCGGCCACGGCTCGGTCGGCGAAGGCGGGGCGTTGCCCAACCTCTCTGGCTGCCTGGCGGCCATTTTCTGTCTTTGCAGGGATCACGGAGCCTGGCGAGCTAGGCCGCGGCCATTTGCCCCAACGTGCCCGAGGCAGGCGGGGGGCTGCCTCTCTGGCTTGAGGGGACAGACGGCAGCAGAGCAAGGCCTGGGAGTCGCAGATGAGCACGGACTGGGCTGGGGACTTCATGAAGGCGTTGAGGGCCTGTCTTGACGCTGCTCATCTTGCTTCCTCGTCTTCCCCCGGGCACTCCCTAGGAGACTGCCCTTAATTGGGGTGCACTTTTTCGGACCTCACCTTATCACTGTCTAGAGCCTCTGTCTAGCCCAGCTCAGGCTGAGTAGGCAGCCTCTTCCAGAGCCTCACAGACATACCCTGAGGGGCACAGCTGAGGGGCCCACAAGGCCACCCCGAAGCTGTGCCCCTCTGTGCAAACCAGCTCTTTAATGCTTTTCTTTTTCAAAACACTTAGAGCCCATCCACCAGAAAATTATTTTCATCAGCCTACTTTGCCACAGCGGCGTTTGGTGGCCAGGGGCCAGCAGCTGCTGAAACAGGCATGCAAGGCTGTGGCGTTGGTGACCAGGGCCACGTCCCGGGGAGGCAGCAACAGGCACAACTCGCGCTCAAGGCCTGGGCTCAGCCCTTCTGCTTTCAGCTGAGAAAGCAAAGGCCTCTGAAGGGAGAGGGACTGGCCAGGGCCTCTGCCCGCTGGTGACCGCGGCTCTTCTGGGACTTTCCTGCCTGGCACGCGGCGTCCTGGAGTGAAGTCCACTTCCCCGAGACCCTCTCCGAGGACCACCGGAGAGTCCATAAAAATCACATTTCTCCGAACTTCCTAAGCACAGATCTCAGCTGCCAAGCGAGCTCGGCTTGCCAACTGTGACACTTCTTGTAACAATAACCCCTGTGCGCTGGTTTTATGTGATAGGAGGCAGGTGTACAACTGTTGCATAGGCGTCTCAAGAGAGCTTATTAAAACAGCTAAGCCAATTAACTCTCTTAGAAACATGTAACCTTTTCCAGGAAAACACATCTGAGGCCCAGGAGCTTGTGGGAACAAGTCCTGGCGGGCGGAGGAGGGGTGGCTTTTGATCTCAAAGCCCTTTCCCCAGGGTGGCCGGCCTCTGGTGGCAGCTGGCTCGAGGTGCCCAGGGAGGACACAGGGCTGGCCGGAGCCCAGGACGCCCCCAGACTGGCCTGGTGAGCGGCGGCAGACTGGTACCCAGGGAAGGGACGGAGGGAGGAGCGACGCATCCCTTAGAGCGGACTCTGGAAGCCAGGGAAGTGGCTCACTGGGTCCAAGGAGTGTGAGGGACCCCTGCCTGTCCGAGGCTGAGCCTCCGCGTCAGGAGAGCTGAAGCCAC